AATAGATATTCCTTTCGGTTGTCTGTACTTTACAATGCGCAATATCGTTTTTATACTGTTTGCGAGATTTACAAGACTGCTGTTAACAATACGCAGCCCTGAAACCTGAAGTTCGTTATTGTTTTGCCTTGTAGTGATGCGAGTCCTGTCTGGACACACATCGTCAGTTCAGAGTTTGGATTTCCATCCCCATGGTAACTTCATTGCTTCCGGATCTTTGGATTCCTCCGTCAGGGTGCGTTTACAAAATGAGTGTATTATCCCCTCTTTGACCTTGACTCTTGAACGCATAAATATCGTTGTAATGCTTTGCCATTGCGCAAATGAAATGCAAGTCTTATTGCGAGATATTTCGACCAAACAGATGCTTGTATCTCTAAAGGGTGCATCTTCAGGGCATCGGACAGATTCTTCTTTCGAGTGACGATGGAGCCCGTTAAACTTCAAGGCGTCCCTGAGACGATAATGAATACTTTGTGCTTTTCATGTTTGCAATTAAATGCCTAACTACAGAGTCTGTAGTTTGTGGTTATTAAACGTTCGACAGCTTTCACCTGCTTAGTGAGATCCCAGACGTTCCTGTTCCCGTGGATGCTGCTGTAAATCCTATTTGCAGGCTCATTTACGCATAAGACCCAATCGCCAAATAAACTGGACGCTCACAGCGAACATCTGTGCTGGAAATGCTAATGATCGAATGAAAAACCGTCAGCAAAATATTTTTTCCCTTAGAGAACGCTTTACTGCGGTAATTCACGGGTGAATGCCCACGTCTTTCATTCTTTTTTTAAGGCAAAGTTAGAGAAAAATGTTACAAATTCCCCCAACCGATGCTCGCAATATTTTTCCCGCAACTGAGCAAATTCATATTTTTCTTTCTTTTCTTATTCTAATTATTTTTGCTTAGCTCTAGGCCCAACTCTATAAATAGAAGCGTGTTGCAGATGTACCACATAAATTATTTATCATACAGCGCGGAACCAGCACCTCTTCTGCTTTGCCAAGTACATACAGCTGATTCGCACCAAATGCATTTTACCGTATACTCCATCACTGCAGTAGCAATCTTGTGGAGTTTTTTGTGTAGGCTCGAAAATTACGGGTGCCGTAAGGCAAATATGGTCCATTGCCGTGATTAACGTCTTCGATCGCGCATTTGCGCGCGTTTTCTAACCAAACAATCCAGAGCAGAAGAAGTAGAGTCTTGTTTTCATTAAACAGTCGTTCACGTTTTGACTAGTCCGACTTACACCAACGAAAATTCGCGTGTCAAGTTGGCAAGCACCATTGCGGTAAGCTTCTATAATCTCGGTTACTATCCTCTACCAAACAGATGCGCAATGACGCATTTATGGTCTGCGGTAATTATCATAGGAAATAGCTTGAACGAGTAGAGAAGATAATTTTCCCCCAGAAATAAAACTTACATTTTAATAAAGTTACTCAGATACACGCTAAAAAGTCGAAACTTGCCCAGACTATCTGTCCCTGTTTCGGGCAGTTGTGGGAAATGTGTGCAAGGATTTTGCCCACCATACTGAAAGAGAAAACGTTGTGTTTGTTAGGTTGCGGTGGCGTCCTTAAAGTTCTATAGGATTTGTCCTCGCTTCCATATCTCTGGGAACACAGTGGATTGATTGTGAGTCACAGCACCCGTACACTTCTGAAGCGTGGGTGCATCGTCGGAATGTGGGCGATCAAAGTTAATCCTTAGTTCCCACACAGGAGAGTCTTTTTAAGGTTTCCTATCAGACTACGGATGGGCAGTCAAAGCTTGAAAAAAAAGCATCCGGACGGACGCTCTACGAGTCCTTTTTGCAACTACAAAAAGGTTGCTCCGTCCGGTCCGAGCAACGGAGCGGTTCTGGTGGGTCGAAACCTGCTTAAACTACACTTCCTGACCGGGTTACAAGACGTGTTCGCTCCATTGCGCTTTGAGGCTAGATCTTAAGCCCCGTAGGCGGTCGCACAGTGACTCATAATATATGCACAAAGGGATAGACGACTAAGTTAAGGGGAGGGGGAGGTGGCCATTTTTGGCTTATTAGCCGTCCTCAGCCAGCCCTGCCCAAGCCCAGGTTTCTTCCATACCTGGGCCTCGATTCGGCGTTCTTTGCTCATTGAGCGTCATTAAGTCTAACACCTCACTGTTTGAGCCAAAGACAC